ATTTGATCTCCTAGCGGGTGATGCTTTTTGGACTCACTCAGTTTTGGCTGTTGGAGTCATTAAGAAGTGCCTAGGCCACCGAATCCACTGAAAACTTGCCTACAGGGTTATTCAACATCCCGATTACGGATATGACATTCATTCTGGCGCTAGCGCTAAAGCAGGACGACAGTCCCGTCATTTCATTATTACGTCAGCAGCGAAAGCTGAGTCCAAACGGCATCATTGCTCCCATCGGCGGCCGTCGCAACCACGACATCACAACAGAAACGATATTTGCTCAATGAATAAAAGATGCTAACGAAGTGCACAACATTATTCTTTTGGTATCTCAAGAGTGGTGAGTTGTTGGCAAAGATCAGACCCCAAGCGGGACTCGAATCCTGGGGTCCGAGTTTTGCCTATAAATCAGCATGTGGTAGCTTCTGGAGCGCAAACCGCGGCGCTAAACAGTAGTTATCATGAACAAAACATCTGTTTTTGGAAAAAAAGAACTTCCTTCCGTTTCAGATGAAGGAGAAGTCCTTGTTTTATTTACTCACTTCTACCGCTTTACTTATAAACCCAGCGCCTCCAGCATTATTGAATATCTCTCATAATGCTTACTTCCTTTTAAATTCCTTATCTAACGTGTCGGTTGATGACTCTGGAGAGACTGGAAATCTCAATGCGCCAGAAGAAAACAGTAAATTACGATACGAAGGTGGGTAACGTTTTTCTTGCATCAATAAAGCAGAATTCAAATTACTATGGAAGATATAAAAAGAGTCGTGGATTATAGACAAAAGTCAGACCTCTGACGGGACTCGAACCCTCATCTTCCGTGGTACGACCCCCCCCCCCTGACTTCCTTACTGTACACATGAAACAAGAAAAACCAGGAAAAGTAAGCAACCTCTCTCAGGAGGTCAAAAGCGAATTAAGCAAAAGCGAAATAAACGAATCACGCCGCCCTCCCAATAACGAGCAAATACCATCCTCCTTTCTTCACTACGTCCCAGAGAAAGATAAACGGTTGAA